CACGGACCCGCGAAGGTGCTCCCGACCACCCCGCCCCCTCGCTGGGAGGCCAGAGGCGCCATGCCTGCTACGCCCCCGCGATTGGGGCCCGAGGAGGAGGAGGAGGAGGAGGAGGAGGAGGAGGAGGAGGAGGAGGAGGAGGAGGAGGAGGGAGGAGGAGGGAGGAGGAGGGCGGAGGAGGAGGAGGAGGGAAAGAGCCCGTGGTGTCCTGGGAGGCTGCGAAGGCGGGCTTTTGGGATTGTGCTGTGCGTAATTCCAGTGCGTTGCGAGCTGGGCTCCTGCGGGCCCTCAAAGTGGAAGTAGATCGGTACATCGGCTTCGACTGGGCACAGGCCATGATAGATTGCGAGAAGTTCTACGACACGTTAAAGCCTTTCTTCATCTTCTATTACGTCCGTGCCTTAGGTTACCCATTAGCTATTATGTACGTGGGGATGTCAATGCATATGGCTGACCGTGTCATTACAGTGCAAGGTGCAGCTTCCGATGTTATCCAGATATCGACTTCGATATTGACAGGCAATGTTCAGAGTGTAACGTGGAGTCGAGCGTATCTGCACGATATGTTTCTCGAAACACATGCCCGTTATCTTCCACAAGGGCTGATGCAGGAACCGCACCGAGGTCTTCGTCCACTGGAGGTTCGGACCTGGGTGGATGACGCAGCTTTGCAGATATTGGGGAATGCGCGGGATGTAGTCAGGCAGTGCTCCGAAGCTCTGATCCACCTATTCCGTCGCATGCAAGGACAAGAACTGAGGATTTCAGGCAAGACAGTTTTGTTAGATAGCCAACCTAAGCTCGTTCAGCAGATTGCTGCCAATGTCCAAGCAAGTTGTGGCATCAACCTGAAATTTGTCACTGCCTCTCGCGACTTAGGAATCGATTGTTCGAGTAAGAGGCGTAGCACCGTCACGGTCCAGGGTCGTCTTAAGAAAGCCTCTGCTCGTGCTTGCCGCATAAAAGGTTTAATCAAAACCAACCGCACGGCGAAACGCTTAGCCCGCACTAGTTATAAACCCCAGGCCCCATGGGGCCTGGCAGGGCAGGGAGCTGCCCCCACCACCCTTCTGAAGATCAGGAGCCAGATAGCCTCCATGAGCGGCGTGCAACGTCATGGGGGATGCGCCACGGTAGCGCTCCGTTTAGGGTTTACCCAGCTAGATGATCCATTCGTGTTTGGCCGCCTCGACTTGGTCAAGTCTTGGTTGGAAGTGGCGCCGCAAGTAGGCTGGACCACGCCGTGTCTTTCCAATGCGTGGGCATGCTGCCGGCGCGCCATAGCGAATGCTATCCATGGTGTAAAGTGAAGGGCCCCATGGAGGCCTTGATGGCGATGCTACTCCAACTTGGCTGGGATCCTGTGAACCCGTACAAGTGGCTAGACGATGCAGGACATGTGTATTTTCTTGCCCCGGAGCTTTCCACCGACCAGCGCACCCCCTTTTACCTTGAGCCCGCTAGGGGCAGCCCCAGGGATGGAGGCATTGCGTTTTGGCGGAGGTGGAGGGGGCGCTGGAGCAGAAGGTGTGGGAGCAGCATGCGTCTCAGCATTTCTGTGGGACAGGTTTAGAATTCGGGTGTGACCTCACTCCTCTCCGCCGCCACCTCGCGAGGTTGAGGTCTAAGGGGGAGGCCAGTTTGGCAGCGGTCCTCGATGTGGTGGCCACAGGCGACTTATGGCCCGCCACGAGGCGCGCTCCCCAGGCCCCCGTCGGGTCTGAGGGGAGGCGTTGCCGGCGGTGTGGACAGGAGGAGGAGGATCTTTTTCACCAGATGTGGAGCTGCCCCTGCAACCTCCCTCTCTCTCTCCTGAGAACCTCTCCCTTGCCCAGGAAGCCCGTGAGAAACATGCCGAGTTCCCATGTTTTTGGCTCCGCGGTTTGACTCCCGTTTTATGGGTCCACGACCTGGTCGATTCGTGGCCGGAGGGCCAGGCCAATTTTGAAGGAGCATTCGATGCAGGAGGGCGCGTGCCCTTAGGCGCTGATGATCGGGTCGGGTCGGACGGGAGTGGGGGGGATTGTACTGACGATAAGCGCCTCCGTCGTTGCGGATGGGGGTGCGCCATTGTCCAGGGAGGCCGTGTGGTAGGCAGAGCGTACGGCACCCTCCCAGGACGGATCCAGACGGTTCCCCTAGCGGAGCTGGTCGGTATCACCGTAGCTTTGCAACGCACTGTTGGTGAATGTCATGTTGTGCTCGACTGCCAGAGCGTGATTGATGGGATTCGTCATGGACCCCAATGGAAGCACGAGGCGAATTCGGCTGCGCGGCTCGATTTTTGGGAGGCCTATGAAGGCCATCCAGGACCGTGCCATTTTAAAAAGGTAAAGTCCCACCTCGAAGAAGGGCATGTGGGGGTCCACATTGACCGGGAAGATTTTACCGCCAACCAGGCCGCGGATCAGTGTGCCAGTGAAGAGGCGCGCATGGCCAGGCTCCCACAGCATATCATCCAGCAGGTCATCGACATAGATAATAAAGCTGTCCGCGTGCAGAGGCGCCTGACAGAAGTCGCTCTGCAAGTGGCTATCCAGACCCCATCCCTATACTCGGCCACCTCTAGAGCTGATCGTGTGGCCCGCAGTCGAGCGTCCAGGGCCCAGCGTCAATCGTACGTTGAGCAAGCACTGCAGGAGACCACACACAGCGTGATCGAGAAGGGGGGTTATAAATTGTGGATTGTCTGCCGCGGGCGCCCTACCAAGGAGTGTGGGACGCTGGAGCGGCTTGCCTCGCATTGCCCAGGTCGGCCGTACCAGATCCATCAGAGCAACGATGTGTCTTGTACTCGTGAACTCTGGTGGTGTCGCAGGTGTGGGGCTTACAGCAGTGCGAAGATCAGCGCAGGGTTGCAAGGCACCTGCCACCGCCCAACAGACTGGGGCAAGAAGGTGCTGTCCAAACTAATGGATGGCCGCCTCCCCCCAGGTCTGAAGACCTGGCCAGACGAGCTTGGCAAGGGGCTGGGTGCCGGGTAGTTTCACGCGCACGCCGTCCCTCCGCGTCATGTGCGGACTTGGGGACTTGGAGTGTGCGCCAGGAGGAGGAGGAGGAGGAGGAGGAGGAGGAGGAGGAGGAGGACGAGGGAGGAGGAGGGAGGAGCCTGAGAGGCCCCACGAGGCTGGGAGCGAGCGGGGCGGCGCAGGGCCCCCAAGATCGACCCCGCTGCGGGGAGGACCCCGGCGCCGTGCCCGCTGCCTGCCGCACCGCGGTGGCCACGAGGCCAAGAGCTGGGCCACGCCTCCCCGAAGCACTTTTCGCATCGGCGGCTGGGTCCCCCGCGCGCGGCCTGGGGAAGCTTGACCGGGGGATGTCCGCGCAGGCGGCCCCGCCTTCGTCTGTCGCTCGCGCGTCTCCCCGGAAGCGGGCGCACGGCCTGAGAGGTCCCACCAGTCTGGTCGCGGACGGGCCTCTGGGTCTGCGTATGGGAGTCGGGGTGCGGGTAAACACGAGCGTGAGTAAAACTGATAACTGGGGGTCCAATCGATGACTGGGTATGAGTGGCCTGAATGCGAGTGCGTCGAGCTTGTAGATAAGTAAGTCATGCCATACGCCGTAGCGCGTGAGCCTGAGCGTGCGTGAGTCTGAGTGCGAGTGAGTCTGAGTGTGCGCGGGCCTGGGTGTGTAAGCGAATCAGAATATGAGCGAGCCCGAGTGCGAGAGTTATAGGTAGGAACAACTGAGTCTGAGTGATTCTGGGTATGGGTGAGTCTGAGTTTGAATGAATGTGGGTGAGTGGTGAGTCTGGGTGAGAGTGAGCCGGTCACGGTGTGAGCAGCTCGCATTATGTATTATATGCGAGCCAGTGGTGGTTATGGAATTATCAAAGAAGGCCCAAGTGCGCCGTCCCAAGAGAGCCCAGAACAACCCCAAGTAAAGATTCGGGCCCAAGTGCCAAAGGTGGTCTCCACAAGTGTTCCAATTCTCACAGAAGTCAGCTCCATGATGGCCTGGCAGCCATCACACCACAGAACTCCATGTGACCCGCCCCGCCTGCAACCCGCCTGCCACAAGTGTTAATCCGACACCGCGCCGCAATCACTGAATAGAGCGTCCGCAGGCCCCTCCGACAAAACACTGGGCATCGCAAGTGCACCATGCCAACATGCCCTGAGAACCCCAGCGTCCTGGAACATTATGGGTGCTCTTTTGGGCTCGTCGCATGAGAGTTCTGAGGGCTTCGGCGGCGTGGCTTGGAGTCCACACTCTGCGTGTCCCACGCGGGCACCACGGGGCTCACATCTTGGGGGCCTCTGGGGCCATCTTGGAGGCCCCGAGGCCAGCCCAAGAAGCCCAAACCGCTCCAACGGTCCAGGAGCCAGTCTTCTTTTGTGTATGTGTAGGCTCTGCGGCGTTTTCAAAGTTTCCCCGCTTCGAACGAAGCTTCCAAGAGGGCCGAGAGACCGAGGCCTCTTGGTCCACGGCCCAGGCAGGATGGCGGAATGGACGAAGGCAACTGAATCCAGTCAGCCCGTATCATGAGGTTGCGCGGTCAGGATGCAAGGGCCTTGGGCGCCCATTTCGAAGCATTTCGAGCGGGGCGCGGCCATCGAACGTGGCCAAGGATGGACCGAGGAGGCAAGGATGCAAGGGTAGCCTTGTGAAGGTTGCCCATCCTTGCTACGGGAGCTGACTGTAGTCAGACATCAACTTCGCCGACAGATTCCCCCCCTCCACCCTCCTGATCGTTCTGCAATCATCGCGCTACCAGAAGGATTGCTGAAGAACGCGAGGGCTTTTCTGGTCACGGCGAGAATTTCGGTCCCCGGGCCTAGACTTACACGGCACGGCCCGAGAACCCGATCCCCTCCCGATATCAGAATGGTCCTCATTTTAGCGTGTCGACTGCACGCATGCCGAGTGAGAGAGAGGAGGAGCCCCAAGATGCTTGTTGGGGCACGGGGCGCGGCGGATGCGAACAACTGCGCCCGCCCCGCCCGCTTCGCCTCTGGGCAGGCCCCCCGCCACCCTCCTCCGCCGCCGCGGGCCCCTGGCTGCTTTTCCACCCGCGCCCTGGCGCTCGCGCGCACGAGCCGAGGTGGCAGGCCGCCGTCACCGCTCGGCGTCTCTGGCCGCAGCGTCGCCGCCCTGCAGCCGCCCGAAGGCGAACTCCAGCAGCACCGCGGCGAAGCGCCGAATCAGCAGATCCACAGCGGCTTCCGCGGCCGCGAGGTCTTCGTCCTCCCGCCGCCGGTCCCGAGGCGCGCCGCCGCTGGCCGGCGGGCATCGCAAGAGGGGCGGATGGCCCACGGGGGCGGGCTCCTCACGCACTCGCCAGGGAGCCTCGCCGCAGGCGTGGGTGCTCGGAGCCCCCCGGAGGCGTGGCAGTGCCCCCCCCCCCGGGGCCCATCCGCCCCCGTTGCGGCCGCCGAGCTGGAGGCTGGTGGCGCCTCCGGCCGCCCCGGGGTCGGCTGCAGGGCGGCGGCTGGGCGCCGCAGGTCGCCCTGGCCGGGCTCCGCGTCGGGCCACTCGTCGGCGTACGCGCAGAGCCCCCGCGGCTCCTCGGGCCGCGGCGGCCCCCCCGCGGCGTGCCGGGCCTGGCGCAGCCGGTGGCTGCAGTGCAGCCAGGCCCCCTCCAGCGGCCATGCCGCCTCGCTGCTCCAGCGGCCCCACATCAGGTGCAGGAGGACGTACCGCTTGTCCTCCGACATGGCGCGGCGATCGTCCGCCACGCCGAAGGCGCCGCGCGCAACGATGAGTAGGTGTCGCTGTTCCCAGCTGCCCTCGAGGGATCCCGTGGAGGACGCGCAGTCGCGCCTCTCCCCGACAGGCCCCGTGAACTCGATGCACCTCCCCTTGAAGGCGGAGCTGCGCAGATAAACACCCAGCCTCTGCCACGAGGCAGCTGGGTCGAAGGCAGGGCCTGCTCTCCGCAAGGCTTGGAAGGTTCGGCCCACGAAAGGATCCTCACAAAGGTCTAGAGACGTCCCGCAATTTGCGAGCACCTCGCTCATGTCACGGCGCTCGAAGAGTGAGGGTTGCTTCGAGAGCTGCTTGAAGCGTCGCATCAAGACGAGGCGGACGGCCGCGAGCCGGGCGAACTCCTTCAAAGCATCCTGGGCTGCATCTGCGAGGGCGACTTCCAAGGACTCCCACTCGGCCGTGTGCTCCGCGGCCGCCTCGCACGGTGGCGTGCACCAGGCCAGGTCGACCAGCAGGGCCGCGAAGCGGAAGCCCAGGGTGCCAGACCGCCCCGTGCGCGCGCGGCTCGGCTTCTCGCACACGGGGCAGGCAAAAAGCACGCAACGTATGCCCTGCGCCAGCTGCGCGGGCTCCCGCGCGGCCTCGGGCCCCGCCTCCGGGTGCGCGCCGTGCCGGGCGGCGTGCAGGCGGAGCGCCCGCAGGAAGCGGTGGTCCTCCGCGTGCATCGACAGCAGCGGCTCGTGCTCCTCGCCGGAGCACTTGAAGCCGTACTGCGCCGCCGTCTCGTGCATGAAGCTCACAAGGTCCTTCGCCTGCAGGCCCGCGAGCGCGGCGCCCAGCTCGCCGCCGCCGGGCAGCCCGAGCCACTCCACCAGCCTCGTCGGAGGCACCTCCCCCTGCACGTAGAGGTTCCGGGCCCGCCGGGGGTGCCTGGGGGAGCAAAGCGATGCCGATACGCCAGACCCCGACGTCGTGTTTTTTCACGCCGTCGACCCCCATGAGGTCTGGACCCCTTCTCCGGGACCGGTTTTCCATCCCGAGTTGTTCTGTTGACAGCCCCCGGGCCCTCTGAGGGCCCCCCGAGGCCGAAACGATGGAAAGACCAGCCGCAGAGATTCAGTCGACACGCGAGGGGCCGTGGGGCCGCTGCTCCCCAGACCTCTCCTCCCCAGGACTCTGGGCCGAAGAACCAGCCCTTGCGACGAGAGGTGTGGGCAGCGGCTCAGCCCTGTGGTGCCTCCAGAGGCAGCGGCGAGCGGCGGGACTCTCGCGGCCACGGCGAGCCTTGCCACGCACCCGGAGGACTCTGGCCAAAGTCTGCGTCGTCGTCGTCGTTGCCGCCGCCGCCGCCGCCGCCGCCGTCGTCGCCGTCGTCGTCGTCGTCGTCGTCGTCGTCGTCGTCGTCGTCGTCGTCGTCGTCGTCGTCGTCGTCGTCGTCGTCGTCGTCGTCGTCGTCGTCGTCGTCTCCTTCCGGGTCGGCGGCACCGGCCGTAGGGCCTTCGCAATATATTGCGGAGGCCCTGCGGCGGGCCCGTGCGCTCCTCACGCGTCGCGGACATCCGCGGTGCGCAAGGATTCGGCGGGGCTCTTGTGGCCACGGCAAGCCCTGCCACGCACAGGCTGCCCGACCTGAGCCCCAAGACCATATGGGGCGCACAAGGACGTACAGTCGGGGCCTTGACCTAAGGAACCCTAAATAAGGAACGAGGCCCCTTTTTCCCATCAGTGAAATTCCGATTTCCCATCGAAAACCTAAGGAAAGCCTGAGGCAAGCTGTGAAACACTTAAGGAACGCGGAGCCCCTCCCCAACCAAAAGGGCTCCTTCTTCAGGGCCCCGACTGTAGTACTCTGTGTCCTCCTCGGAGGCGTGCGTCCGACCCAAACGTATCGTAGACCGATCTTGTAGTAGATCTTTTCCCGAGCGGTGTGGCCAGAAAGCGCCCGCCGCGTCGCATATATACTATAACATATCTCGGTGCGCGCGTCGCCCCTGGGGGGTCGAAGCACACATTGTATTAGTAGGCTGTGGTGACGCCGACCCTAGCCCCTCCTAAGCCCCAAGTGGTCTGCCTTTCGGCCTCACTGTGCGCAAACAAAGGGCTCACGTCGCGACGACGTCGGTGCGGGTTCCTGGCGCCGCGCGGATCGTCTGGCCCTGACGGATCGTGGCTTTCCAACAGCGCCGTTCTCTCGACGCCGGCCAGCTTGTAGCACTTCCCCCAAAGATCCGATGTCGTGATTTGTGTCAATGCAGGGTCCCCGGAAGTCTCGACCGATTCCCCAGGACCGGTGTTTCATCCTCAATCGCTTTTTTGGTGGTCCCGAGGTCCGGTAAGGGCCCCATACAGAGGCCGAACGCTGCGAAAAGTCGTGATATTTTCAGTGCTCTGGATCTCTGGGAACAGCGCCGTTCGTTCGACGCCGGCCGGCTCGTGTCCCTCCCTCCTCGGAGCACCTGCGGTCCCCCCGCGCCAGCCAGCCCTCGTCCAGCAGCGCGCGGGCGCCGGAGCACTGGTAGGCGTGCGACACGGGCCGGCACGAGTCCGTCAGGCAGCGCATCTGGAAGTCGAAGCAGAAGTCGTGGATGGCCGACAGGATCTCCTCCGCGGCCTCCTCCAGAAGAGCAATAACCCCAGGCATGATCGCATCGAGCAAAAGTCTGGACGGGAAGTTGTTGGCCGTTTTCGGCCCTGGGGGACCCTCGCCAGGCCTCGGGGCCGTCAACAAAAACGACTCAGGATGAAAAACGGGTCCTGGGGAAGGGGTAGGGACTTCCAGGGACGCCGTCCTGAAAAGATCAGGACGTCGCATGTCTGGGCAACTGGATCAGATCAGCTGTCGAAGGCCCGCGCGGAGTTCTTGGGTGGGCGCTGGGCGCCCTGCCTGGCGCGCGCAGCGCGCCAGTGGCAGCGCCGGAGGTGCCGCCAGGGGAGGCCCAGCGCCGATCCACGACGGCCGCGCGGGCCTCCGAACGTGCATGTCTGTGCCATTCCTCTTTCTTCGATCCTTGGCGCCGGGCGCGCCAGCATCCTGCGCGAAGATCTCGATGCACACGCTGTCGTTGGAGCGGCACGAGACCTCAGCGAGCAGCGAGGATGCGGCGCCTGGCAGGGTTCGGTGCAACAGCAGCGTCTGCGGCCACAGCCCCGCCTTGACCTCTCCCAGGACGTCCCAGTCGTGCCAGGGCAGCGGGTTCTCCAGGCACAGCACCAGCGCCCAAGACGCGACCGAGGTCGCGCTGGCGATGTCCGCGTCGCTCGCCTCTGCTGTCAGGGCCGAGGGCCGCTGGAAGGCAGCCAAGACGCTGCTCAGGAAGCGCTGCCGAATGGTCAGCAGAGGCGTGTCCTGACTCAGCTTCTCGCTGAGACTGCGGGACTTCACCTTCTGGGGCAACCCAAAGGCACCGATGCCGCTACTCCCCGGACCTCTCCCGGGGTGCGTTCTGACCAGGATTTCGAGGCGAATCCAGCAGCGGCGACGAGGGCCTACCAGGAGACCCGAAAAGGAGAGAACGCGCGAGGGGGTAGAGGTATGGGCACCTTTTCCTCCTCCGACCTTCAGCCCCCACTTGGGTGCCTCGGCGCCGGGCTCCGGCGGGGCAGGGGCGGCGACGCTGCCCCGCTCCGACGGGTCCCTGGCCCTCTGCCCCTCGGCGTCGGGGGCCTCGCAGTAGGGGCGCACGAACAGCGAGTGCCAGTCGCTGCCCAGCAGCGTGGCGTGCCGGTGCAGCAGCGACAGCAGCAGCACCTCCCCCTCGATGGCCTCCGTGTCCTGAACCTGAAGGGTCCAAACTGCAGGCGTTGTCCGACTTCGGGCTCTGATTCCGGGTGCCGCACTGGGACACTTGGCGGCGCGCGCAAGGGGGTCGGGGGAGGGGGGAAAGCTGCTTAGAAGGAGGCTGCTTCTTAGAAGGCGCCGGCCTTACATCTACAAAGAAGGCCCGCGCCTTCTAATTCGCCGGCCCAACGGGCCAGGGCGTGCTAAGATCTCCGGTACCTGGTTAACAGTATTTCTAGTTCGCGCGCGCGGGGCGGCCCCTGGGGGTCCCCGGACGAAAAGTACCCCGGCAAGGTCCCGGCAAGTCCCCGGCAAGGTCCCGGCAAGGTCGGGTCAGAGATGCCGGAGTTCTGTTTCGGAGTCCAAGAGGGCTCCAGATCGGTCCAAGAGGGCCCCGAGAAGCTTTCTAGACGGTCCAAGAGAGGCCCGAGACGGCCAAAGATCGCCCGAAGACGCCCCAGATGGCCCCAAGACAGCCCAAGAGGCCTCCAAGACGCTCCAAGGGCCTTCCAAGAGGCCTCCGAAGAGGGCCCCAAGTTGCCAAAATCGTTGATTTTCATTTGTTTTTTCTATGTTTTTTTGCGTTCTGGCCTTTTCGCTTCCGGACGCTCCAAGAGGGCCCAAGAGGCCTTCAAGACTGCTCCAAGACGGCCCACGAGGCTCCCAAGACGGCCCCGGAGCGGCCCAAGAGCGCCCCCCAGACGGCCCAAGTGCTGCCCAAGGCGGACCAAGAGGCCCCAAGACGGGCCCAAGAGGGGCTCAAGAAGGGAACCGAGAACTGAAAAATCGAGCCCTCCGCCCCAGAAGGCGCCCAGGACCCCGAAAGAGGCCCCAAGAGACTCTCCAAGACACCCCCAAGACGCCCCAATAAGCTCCCGTGAGGCCCCAAGAGGACCAACAACGTCAGGCCCCAGGCCCCAAGAGGACCAACAAATACCGCCAAGAGCCCGCCGAAAGCCCCCCAAGAGACCGTCACGAGAGCTCAGGAGGCCCCCTGGAGGCCTCCCGAGTTCTCCAAGAGGCCTAAAAAGAGGCGCCAAGAGGCCCCAAACGGCCCCACCGAGGCTCCAAGAGGCCACGAACGCGCAAGCAAACGCCTGCGATGGCACAATACGGGCCGGCGGAATGAGCGAAGCGATTAATAAGCAGGGGTGCTTCTAAGAAGCCTTCCCCCCTCCCCCTACCCCCTTCTGCGCGTGGCCAGGACATAGAGAGTCGTCCCGTCAGGGGCGTGGGGCCTGTTGTAGTGTGAGCGGGGAGTGGGGGGGGGAGGGGCAGGGGCAGGCGAGAGGGCGGGCAGGGCGCATTCCAGGGTGTGCGACCGGAGCTCTGTCTCTCGAAGTGGGATGGCGGTTCCAAATCGAGGAACCGCCTAGGACCTCCACGCAAAATTGGCCGTCGTGGCGGTCCCAAAGCGGTTCCAAACAATGGAAGTCAATTCCGAACAATTGGAAGACGAGCGTTTCGCTTGAGATCTCCGTGGGAAAATATGGAACCGGGTTCCAAACAATACGATGCCAGTTCCAAATCGCACGAACTGCGCAGGACATCCTTGCAAACTAAGCCGTCGTGGCAGTTCTAAACCGGTTCCAATCGGTTCCAGTCGATTGGAACACTGACGTTTCGCATGAGACTTCCGTGCGACAGTGATTTGGCACCGGGTTCCAAAAAATGCGATGGCGGTTGCAAATCGCAGAACCGGCTACGGCTAGGACTTCCTCGCAAAATAAAAACGTCGCGGCGGTTCCAAAGCGGTTCCAATCGGTTCCAAGCAATTGGGAAACAAGCGTTTCGCTTGAAAGCTCCGTGCAAACTTTTTTGGGGAATCAATTTCCAAACAATGCGATGGCGGTTCCAAATCGCAGAAGCGCCAAAGATTTGCTCGCAAAATGAAACGTCGTGGCGGTTTCAAGGCGGTTCCAAACAGCAGACATCGGTTCCCAGCGAGTGGGGAACGAGCGTTTCGCTCGAGGCATCCTTGAACATGCGGTTAGACTTTGATTCCAACCAATTTCCATATTGAAGAACCGCGAGGGACCTTCTTTACATAATGGCGCACCGACGACGACGTCGGCCGCTTACAGGACGCCATTGCCCCGCGTGGTCCTGTCAAACCGTGGGCCATGGCTCTACCCGGCGCCCACGGGCCCCACCGTCGGCGACCACTTCGACGCCCCGAAACGGCACGGCTTCGGTGCATACGCAGGCAGTGATGCGAGCAGGCAGCCGCCCGACATGCCAGACGTACCCCCCCATGGAACAACAGTCGCGTGGACCGGGCAGTGCCTCGATAAGTTCCCCCTCGCCAGGGGCGAAAGCATCGACGCGACGGAGAGCGAGCTCGCCGCGCGTCTGCAGGATTGCAAGCAGCAGCTCATCCACCGCAGCTTCGAATAGGATGACCTCTGCTCGAGCTGCTCCAGTCGCATGGAGGAACTCGTCGACTTGAAGGGGGAGAGGCTGAACCACTGGGTGCTGCTTTGGGAGCTCGATCGAGCGCCGCAGCGTTTCGGCGGAGGATTGCCGCGCGCAGGAAAGGTGTCCTCCGTTGCCGTGGATCCTCGTTCCGCAAAATGACCACGATGACATCTAACCGCACTGGGGTACTGTCTCCCTAGGGGGGGTGTCACTGGTGATTTCGCGCGGGGAGTGACTAGGAATAGCTAGAAGAAGCCAAGACCATCTTCTCCTGTGCGACAGTAAACACGGTGGATGTGATCCCAGAGTGACTCCGTACTGGTATTGTGAACCAGCAACAAGGGAAGCCTCAGAAAAAATCGCCCGCTCAGCCAGCCCGACTGACGCCGTGCCAGGAGTCTACGGGGGGAACGGCAAGTCGCAAGGCGTCGCCGCTGACGCCGGTGCCCAACATGAATACGTTTCGGAACGGGTAGGTTGCACATGCGCGTAGCAGCGTGCTTCCTGAACGTGAGACCCACACAGTCATAACTAAGCTCGGAGAACGCCTGTACACCGAGACCGCTGCTCCCCGGGCCTCTCCTGGGGCGCGTTCCGGCCAAAACCTCGAGGCGACCCAGACCGTGGCGACGAGGGGCTCCCAAAAAGGACCCCTCGGGGATCTCCTGGCCCGGGTCAATCCAGACCCGGGTCAGCAGGAAACCAAAAAACTGCGATGCAGGAGCAAAACAACTGCAACGCAGGTCTTCGCAAACCCCGGGTCAGCCCATAGGCGCGGCCGCCTCGCGGCCACGAGCGGCTCGCCAACCCGGGTCGGCCAGAGGGGGTCTCCGCAGGCTCCTGCAGGATCCGGTGGCCCTGGCCGACCCCCGTCTGCACATGGACCTCCGTCCCTTGAGCCCCGCACCCCCCGAGAGAGGCGAGCACCGGGGGGAGGGCAGCGACCTCGGCACGCCTCCCCAGAGATCCGATGTCGTGATTTTTTCAGTGCGGGGTTCCCCCAAGTCTCGGCCCATTCCCCAGGACCGGTGCTTCCTCCTGAGCCGTTTTCTGACGGTCCCAGGGCCCAGCGAGGGCCGCGAGAGGCCGAAAATCGAGAAAAACCTCCGTCCTGAGTTTTCAAGGCGTTGGATGTCTGGGCCCCCCCGCCGAGAACCGTGACCCGGCTCTGGCGCCGCGCGGCCGCCTCCGCCAGCTCCCGCAGCTGCTCGTCGGCGTCCGGGGAGCGCGCGTGGGCGGCCACCGCCGCCCGCGCCCACGCGGCGAGGGGCACGCGCTGCTCCTCCCACTCCTGCAAGGGGGCTCCCAGCTTCGCGAGAATTCAGGGGAATCCCCCCCAAAACAAGCGAATTAGTCGAGACGTCCTCGAAATTCCTGCGCGCGGGACGCGGCACGCGCGAGACATCCTCGGAATTCCTGCGCGCGGGGCGCTCTTCCGCGTCGCGAGGTGCGAATAACTTCGCGCTCTCGCGCCGCCCTTCCAGGGGAGAAGAGGGGGACGGGGAGGAATCGGAGCCGCGAGGCGCGGAGCGCGGAGCGCGAGCAGCTTCGCGCCCTCGAGGGCGCCGGTTGCTATCCTGCAGCACCCGCCGGCCGACGAGCTTCCAGCGGTGCAGCCGCATCCTCTCGTTGATGTTCGCGAACCTGGGCGGAGGAGCGGCCCGCGTGAGCGCATATAGTCACCGGCCTGACCTAAGGAACGATAAAAAAGGAACGAAGCCCATTTAAAGATCACAAGGAATAACGCATAAGGAACGATACATAACAAATAACGCACAAGGGTTCCTTATTCAAGCCGCCCACTGTAGGCTGCCCGAGGCCCGAGCGGGTCTCTTGGAGCGCCGGGGGCGCCGCCAGGCGGGGAGCCGTGCGGCCCAAGAGACCAGCGCTGAGCCTCCAGGGGCTTCCCTTGGGTGGCCCAAAAGGGGGTCCAGCGGAAAGGGGGTGGTGCAATAGACTTGGGGCAAGTGTATCGTAAATGTACTGCGCCCGAGAATCTGATTGCTTGGTGTTGCAAGTGAAGTATTGCACGCGAGAGTGCAGCAAACCACGTGCGCCCCGAAATGCATTGCACGCCCCAAGCGTATTGCAACCCCGCACGTCTGCTGCACCCCCTCGTCGCTGGACCCCCTCTTGGGTTAACCCGACTCACGTCTGTGGCCACCGTGCGTGCTGCCCTATGCCCAGGAGCGCCGAGTGTGGAAACGAAGGGTGCGAGCTGGGCACGGCGAGCCTCAGGACACGAGAGCAGGTCCCCCGACGTCCGGCGCTGCGGCGCGGCCCCAGGCAGAAGCCAGGGCCCCTCCCCGAGCCCCTAGGGCGGCCCGGAGCTCAGCTCCGCGCCCGGGCCGTGCCGCTTAATGCGGCTGCCTTCTTCGCCCTCCGGGGGCGCCAGCTGGCCCCGTGCACGCTCAGCGGGTCCAGCAACGGCGTCTCGCGCAGCTCGCGCTGGGGCGCGGCACGGCGAGGCGCGGTGAGCCACCGCGCGCGCACCCAGCGCAGCTTCGCCACCAGCGTCTCGCGCGTCTCGCGCCTGGGGGCGGCCAGCCGGGGCGCGGCCAGCCACCGCGCGCGCACCCAGCGCAGCGTCCTCGTGGTGAGGTGGGGGGACGGTGCGGGGGGGGGGTCCGGCAGAGGAGCTGGCTGGGGAGGCCATCGACCTGAAATCGGCGGCACATCGCCGATAGATCGTGGGTCGGCCCCCGATGGGGAAGCCCCGCGCTCGGGGGCACGCTGGGGGCGCCCGGGCCCCGACCGGCGGGAAGCCGCGGGGGAGGGGAGGGGGGCAGGTGAGGGAGGAAAGCGATAAGAGGGAGGGAAAGCATGGAAGGGGGAGGGGGAGGTTACCTAATTACCGGTGGCCATCAGGAGCTCCTCTTGGAGCCGATGCAGCGAGCTGGTGCGCCATGTGTTTTGCCTCACTTTTCCCGCATCATCTCCGAAGGTGGCCACGGGAGGCTCCTGCTCCTGCTTCGGCTCCCCGACCGACGATTGAGGGTCGATGCCTCCCCTCCCTGAGCCATCCCCCCCCCCTCCCCAGCGTGGCCCCTGACCTTCGCGGGCAGAAGGGCCGCTCCGATACCGAGCAGCCCTGCAGGCCAAGGCCTCCGGCAGACGGACCCGGAAGCACCGAGCAGGGGCGGAGCCCTCAGTCGACGCCCAGGGCCGTTCGGCCCAGGGGTCTGTGGAAAGAGTGTGTTGGCTGCTCCTTCTGGGGACCTTCCTTCCTGGCTCCACTCGTGCGTAGCTGCGTCGAGCGTCCGTCGATTCGTGTCGAGCCTGAGTCAAACCTGGGTCGAGCCTGAGTCGAACTTGAGTGTAACTTGAGTCTAACTGGGTTCGAACAGATCCGTTAGGTGGGCCCCAGGAAGGTCCCCCAAACGAGCATCTAAAGTTTGTTTTTTCCCCGCAGATCTCTTTTCGGGAGACGAATTATCCTCCCTCGATTCCTGATGCCGCGCGGGCGGCGCGCGCCGCGGCGCTTGGTCTCGAACAGGGCCGTGACCAGGGCCTGACCGCCGAGCAGGTCCACGACGTCGGGCTCTACGGCGGTGGCCTCCTCCGGCTCGCACAGCTCCTTCAGCACACAGTCCGCCGTCCTTCGGGCGGGTGGTAATGTGGTGCCCTAGCTGGGGTGTGGGGAAGAAGACCCCAAAGAGGCCCTCCAGGGCCCCTCTTGGGCCCCCGCTGGCTCCAAAAGGGGCCCTAAAGGGCCCCTTTCAGGGTCCCTTTCTTCACCCCCCATGTGGGTCACCCCCCCATTACCACCCACCCGAGTCCTGACGCCGGGGATTTCCCGGCACCTCGCCGCCGCCAACTGCGGCTGTCGGGCGATGTGCGGCTGCGGCGGCGCGTGCCCGGGTCGGCCGGGACCGTATGGCTGAGACAGCTCCGACATCGACTCGCTGGTCACCGTCCCCACCCTGTGCAGCGGCTTCCTTGGGGGCTGATCCCCCGACTCTGACTGGCCAGATACCATGCTCGCGGCGCAATTCGAGGTCCAAGTCGCGGTCGTCCGATCGCGGCCTGTGACGACGGCCTGCGGCTGGCTGACGCCGCCAGCTGCGGCGCCGCCAATCTGCGCAACAGCGGCGACGTATGACGTCTCCTTGAAGTTGCGCGCCAGCACTGAGTCCGTGTCGTTCACGCTCTGGCACCTCATCAGATGCGCGTCCAGCGATAGCAAGTACGGCGCTGGAACCATCTCCGAAAGCATCAGCCGCTCAGCCACGGCCTTCGGGAGTCCGAAGACAGTGTACGGGGAGCTGCTCGCCACACGCTCGACCGCGGCGACTGTGGAGTGCACGGAGCCCTCGTCCTTGGAATGTCGGTCATCGAAGGCATCGGACGCGCGTGCCAAGTGGGCCAGGGAGCCTGGCCGGTCGAAGAGCCACTGGAACTCGCCCTGCAACGCCCCGCGCAGGTTGCTCGCCGCCGCCGACCCACCCGTCTCGCAGCCGCACATCAGCTCCAGCAGGCGCGTGCGCACCCAGACCCAGCGGAACTGGCTCTCGAGGAAGTACTGGACCTTCAGCACCAGGGAGGGGTCCTCCACGGACACGCCGCGTATCCTCGCGCCGGTCGAGTCCAGCGTGATGGCCAAGAACGGCTCGGACAGCTGCTCCGCCCGGATGCACTCGTCGGCCTCCCGCCACTGCTCCAGCGTCTGGTTCCTTAGCTACACGCAGGAGTGACCCTGGGCAAGAGTGACCTTCGGTGCGCGGCTCACGGGGGGCCGTGGGGGGCTGGGGGGGAACCCAAGCGCACAAGACGCTACGATCGCATCGCGTTCGGCGATCGGGTGTCCCCAGTGCTCCTGCACCAAAGGTCACTCCGGCGAGAGGCCACTCTCTTTACGTGCAGCCGACTTCCGCAGGCGTGCGGAGCCGCCCTGCTCGACCCGGTGCTGGTCCAGGCGGCGGGGCAGCCGCAGGCAGCCGCGGGCTACCTGCTCGACGAAGCCCAGCTCCTCCATCGGCTCGCCCAGGCCCCGGTTGGCCTGCCCGCGCCACGGGGCGCCGCGGGTGCGCCGGGGAGGGGGGGGGCCCAGGGCGAGGGGCGGGGTGCGCACCGCGGCCCTTAAGAGTGAGCGGCGATCAAGAGCGTGTCTCGTGCGAGGTGGCGTGGCGACCTCGAGTCGTGCAAAAAGCCGTCATGGCTGAGCAGCTCCCGACAGTGCTCGGCAAAGTCCACCGGGGCGTCACCCGGGCCGCACACGTGGGCCCATGACAGAGTAGGGTACTGGCGCCAGGGCTGGGCCCATCAGCAGCGGGGTCGCCGCCACCTGCAGGTCCTCCGCCAGGTGATCGGCTGTGGCTTACGCGGGCCGCCCGCGCGGCATACCACATTGGAAGCGAGGGCGCTTACGCGCGACCTTACGCGGACAGCTTGCGCGCCTATGTCGGCGCAGGCGACCCCTTTCTTGGGCGTCGCTCACGTGTGCACGGACGGGGAGGCGGGCCGAGGACGTGTGCAGTGGAGAAGAAGAGGGGCCATGAGATCGGGTCGAGCTTGCGGCCCCAGCCGCGATGCACAGATCTGCGTGCGTATAGATACAGAAGCACGCAGCCACCCTCCACTACTGTTACTCCTCACCCCCCTCTCGGGCGCCCCCGAGCTGAGCCGAGGCACCTGCTCCTGGCGCCGGCACTGCAGCCGGGACTGCAGCCTGCCCATGGTGGGCCCCCACATCACGGTGAAGCGGGGCCCTGGAGCGCGAGAGCGCTCCAGCCATCGCAGCAGCGACGACGGGCTCGCGCTGCGCTCGCCGCGCGAGGAGTGCACGAACTTCTGCAGCCGGATGGTCCACATCTTGTCCTCCACGTCGAACCAGTGGCGGAACTCTTCGTGCGCCTCGTCCTCCGCGTCGGACGTGGCAGGCGATTCGCTCGAGCCCTGCCTCCCGTCCTTCGAGGCCTCCTAATAGATGGGGTCCGAGCAGTTTGGGCGGGAGGATCGCGCAGCATCGCCAATGTATCGGCGATGCATCGGCGACGTTGGTGGTGCATCGGCAACGCCGACGTGGAGAAGATCGGGCTCCACATCGAGCCGCATCGGCGATGCATCGGCGATGCGGCGCGATCCTCCGACCCCATCTGGCCCGACCCCATCTGGGAGGCCTAAAGTCAAGCCGGGCCGGTCCCCCTACAGGCCCTACAGGGGGATTTTGGACGAAAAATAATACATAGTAAAACAAAACCCCCAAAAGGTCAAAAAATACTCCCAAAAAGGTCCCAAGACTATTTTTTGACCAATTTTGAACATTCCTCCTGTAGAGGGACAGGCCCGACATAAGCCTAAAGTCCTGCTGCCCCTGCGCGGCCTCGGAGGCGGCCTGGAAGACGACCACGGGCCTCGAGCCCCGGCACTGCCCGGCCAGGAGGAGGAGCTCCTTGAAGGGGCCCAAGAACACACAAATAAAGACACACAAATAACAGGATTCCCCATATTTTCCAATATTTTGTGGGTTTTTGTCTTCCCCCCCACTTCCCATATTTTCCCATATTTTCCAGGGGATCGACGATTAATTGTGTCTGTGTGTTTTTTCCCCTCCTGACTCCTGCAGGCCCTCGACGATCTTCACGAAGGCCCACAAGGGCAGACTCTGGAGGCGGTCGGGATCGGCCAGGCTGGCAGCAATGTCTTCCGGGCTGTGCGTGAAGACCGAGCTGGGATGCTGATGGGGCATGTCGTACAGGAGCTCGTCGCACCGCTTGCAGAACTCCTGGAGGTACTGCTCGGGCTCCGCCTGCCCCACGCTGTCCAAGACCTCTGTGGCCTGTCGTAGCGTCAGCTGCAGGTAGAGTTCAGCCATCGCCTGGTCCAGTGCAACCTGAATCTCCTTGATTAGCTCCGAGGCCTGCTCTTCACTCATCGCTCTCGGCCACACATCCAGGAGGATGTAGCCAGTGCTGGACCGATCCTCCTGCGTCATCCTCTTGAAGTCGACCCGGTGGAAGCGGCCATCCTTTGGGCAAGTGTTTCACGGTATTTCTGGTGACCCCCGAATTTCTATAAAACGCACGCAGGCTCCAAACGAATACGTAGCACACCGCAATTGCGGATAAGAGTGAGGGGGCGGGCGCGGGCGACGCGGGCGTCGAGCCGGCGGACCTCGTGGCCCTCACCTTCCCTGTCGATGGTGCCCCGAAGCCCCTGAATTGTGGGCGCCTTGAGGCAGCTTCCCCTGAACCCAGGCTTTCGGCACGGATGCCGAATTGCAGCAGGCAGCTGGATTGTCAATGCACGTGTTCAGACACAGCCCCGCCGCAGGCGCCGATGTGCTGTTGTAGAGTCAACGTGGGCCGGATCGGGGGAATGGCACGAGGGCGCTTTCCCACACCAGTGCGAGCAAGCCCGCCGCAGGCGCCGATTTGCATGCTCTGACAAGTTCAGCGTGGGGAAGATTGCTGGTGGGCCACCCGGAACGAATGCAAAAACAGCCCGCCGCAGGCGCCGAATCTATGGCTTGTTCAGTGAACGTAGCTTGGGTCGCGGGTGGGTCGCGGGCTCTCCACCTCCACCGTGAAGGAATTCAAAAACAGCCCACCGCAGGCGCCGAAAATTTTGATGTGTACACTGAACGCGGTTTGGGTCGCAGGTGGGTCGCAGGTTGTCCACTTGGAACGAATGCAAAAGAAGCCCGCCGCAGGCGCCGAAGTTTTGATTTGTTCAGTGAACGTACTTTGGGTCGCGGGTGTGTCGCGGGCTCTCCACCTCCACCTGGAAGGAATTCAAAAAAAACCCGCCGCACGCGCCGAAAATTTTGATTTGTACGCTGAACGCGGTTTGGGTCGCGGGTGGGTCGCAGGTTGTCCACTTGGAACGAATGCAAAAGAAGCCCACCGCAGGCGCCGAAAATTTTGGGTGGGTCGCGGGGTGTGTCGCGGGTGTGTCGCGGGTGGGTCGCGGTGTGTTGCCGGTGGGTCGCGGGCGCGGGGTGGGTCGCGGGTGGGTCGCAGGTTCTGCACCTGGAGCGAATGCAAAAGAAACCCGCCGCAGACGCCGAACATTTTGGGTGGGTCGCGGGGTGGGTCGCGGGCGGGTCACGGGTGGGTAGCGGTGGGTCGCGGGTGGGTAGCGGGGTGGGTCGCGGGTGGGTCGCGGGGTGGGTCACGGATGGGTCGCGGATGGGTCGCGGGTGGGTCGCGGGTGGGTCGCCGGGGGGGGTCTCGGGGTGGGTCGCGGGTGGGTCGCGGGGTGGGTCGCGGGTGGGTCGCGGGTGGGTCGCGGGGTTCGGTCACGGGTGGGTCGCGGGGTGGGTCGCGGGTGGGTCGCGGGTGGGTCGCGGGATGGGTTGCGGGTGGGTCGCGGGGCGGTTCGCAGGTGGGACGACGACAACAAACAACAAACAACAAACAACAAAAGCAACAACAGCAACACAAGCAGCAGCAACAACAACAAGAATCCGCATCGCGGAATTCCACTTCAGCCACGCACCCAGGGACAGTGAACGACCGTTCGGTTCAACTCCCTCATTCTGGTCTAAGCCAATGCAAAGCAAGCGCCAGACAGCTCGCCCAGATTGGAGTCGAATCAGCCCAATGTGAAAGAGCACACAACACAATACACTAGGAGTTCGAACACAAGAAACGTTCCACAAGAAACCCAACCCTGAGACCCCAGAACGTTTCGCCAGAGTCTCGTTTCGCCACGGCTCGTTTCGCCAACCAGAGTCTCGTTTCGTTTCGCTGGGGCTTGTTCCAGCAGGCTTCGCTTCGCGGGCAACGTGAAGGATCCAGAGGGGGAGGAAGGGGAGCAACCAGGCAGCCCCTAGGGCGGGTCGGGTCGGGCGGGCGGTCCCTTACGGGAGGGTCGCGCCAGGCGGGCGGGACAGATTGAAGTATGACGGATCAAATCAAATAGTTAGCACGCGCGAGCCCTCACGGGCGGGTCGGGTCGGGCGGACACTAACGGGCGGGTCGGGTCGGGCGGGCGGAGCTTCACGGGCGGGTCGGGTCGGGCCCTGGGCACTCCGAGCTGGGCGAATCGAGCCCCGGCGAATCAAGACTCGGGCGGGTGGAGCTGGGCGACACTCGGCGAATCCGTCCAGGCGAATCGAGCTGGGCAAAACGAGCCTCGGGCGAATCGAGCCGGGCGAATCGAGCCTCGGGCGACTTGAATTCGGGCGAGTCGAGACTCGGCGGATCGAGCCTGGCAAGTCGAGCTGGGCGAATCGGGACTCGACGAATAGAGCCCGGCAGATCGAGCAGGGTGAATCCAGAGCCCAGCGAATCGAGACCCGGGCGGATCAAGCCAACGCCGGTCCAAGAGGACCTCCAGATCTCAAGATGGCTCAATACGCCACCAAGATGCTCCCGCGACAGCCAAACTGACCTAGAAGACAAACACAACACGGCTCCCAGAGAGCCCAGGGTCGCACCAGGGCGGCCGCAGGCCTTGACATGGGCGCGAATGGCCCCAAGTTGACCCCCAGGCACCCAAAGCATGACGGCGCACACGCACACACACACAAAGACACAGACACACGCACACGCACACGCACACACACACATACACACACACACACGCACACGCGCACGCGCACGCGCACGCGCACGCGCACGCGCACGCGCACGCGCGCGCGCGCACGCGCACGCGCACACGCGCACGCCGCGCACGCACACGCCGCAAACGCCGCACACGCACACACACACATACACACACACACACACGCACACACACACACACGCACACACACACGCACACACACAAACGCACACACACAGACAACACCACACAACGCACACACACACACACACGCACACACACGCAAACACACGCGCACACACGCGCACGCCGCGCACGCACACGCCCACACACACACAATCACACGCACACACACACACACACACACACACACACACACACACACACACACACACACACACACACACACACACACACACACACACACACACACACACACACACACACACACACACACACACACACACACACACACACACACACACACACACACACACACACACACGCACACGCGCACAAACGCGCACACACGCGCATACACACACACACGCACACACACCGGACACATACACATACACACATACGAACACATGCACAACACGCACACACATACACATACACACACACGCACACGCACACATTACACAGACACGCACACACACATACACAGAGACACACATATACACACACGCACACACGCACACGCACACGCACACACACACACACACACGCACACACACACACACGCACAACGCAACGCACAACACACAACGCACAACGAACACTTACCAAGTCAAGAGACCACCCGCCACCCTGAGACCTTTATTAAGCAAATTGTTGGGAATGTTCTAAGATTCGAAGTTGTAGCTGCCGAAAGTGTACTCGGTGCTGGCTACGTGGTAGAAGCCGACGGTGGCCGAACTGTGCTGACGCCCCCCCAAAAAAGAAACCCCCAAAAACGCTCGCGCTGTGCAGCAGAGGTACATTTTCACATTGGCACATGGGGGCCTTCGTTGGCCAGCGCCCCGTGTACCAATCGCTGGCCCTCTTTCCGCGGTTGTAGAATGCGAATTGCGCTTCCGGCGAACTGCGCGCGAACGCCCCTTTGGACACGGGGGTTGTCCCTACCATGGGGCCGCAAGTCTTTTTTCCACCTCAGAATTCTGAGTTCCTTGGCTATCGAACGGGATGCGCCGCCATCGTCCCGACCCAACCACAAGAGACAACACAATCTGTGCGCGTGCGCTTCAAGCCCAAAGTGCAGCGGAGGCGGATGGGGGGAGCGGAGGGGAAGTGCTGAGAGGCCGATGCAGCAACCGACAAGTACGCGCTCGCCGCCATGCCTGTGCATTTTAAGATTGTTCTGATATTGAATTCGAGATTCGCTTTCGAAGAAATCATCGTCGTCGATGCTGCCCATGTCCGCGGAGGACCGTGTGGGCCCAGAAAAAATGAGGTGCCAAAGGGGTACGTGGGAGAGGGGGAAGGAAGGAACGGGAGGGAAAAGACACGAGGCAATCGGGAGAAAACGAGGACTCACGGCGCGCTGATATGCGACGCGCGCAACGGCAGCCATTGCACCTGAGCAGAACCTACAGCCTGGCAGGCACATGCCCGACGGAAAACAAATCTAGAACGGTCAAACCTGAACCTTCGAAGCTGTGCTGCTGGAGACCCAACCGCGTTTGGCAAGGAAATGGCGATAGAAGAAGCTGAAAGTCATGCCTGGGCTGCCGTGGCGGCATGCATATTACATGTGCGAGCGATAGGTTAAACCTGGAATGGGTCATGGCATCCTCCATTGAAGAAGCGGAACGCAGCAACGCCAGGCGGCGGAACGCAAGCGGCGACGACGACGACGGGGGGGGGGCGGGGCTGAATGAGAATGGGAAGGGGGGAAGGGGAACGGGGGCGACGAGCACGACCGAGACCAAGACGACGACCCGACTGCGAAGCAAAGAAAAACGCGGGGCACTCCGACCGCGCCCGAGGCTGCACATTGCGCGACGCGCGCGGTGATGCCAGAAGTGGCGTCGAAGAAACCGACGGCGACAGCGACGACGACAACGACAACGACAACACGGCAAAACAAAGCTAGAAGAGAGGGCTGGGAGGAGGAAGGTGAGCACATGCGTTACTCCCCATGGAACACGTCTAATGCTAAAACGCACAGGCAGCGCCGCCTGCGCGGACTAATGCTGAACCAGGGAAGACGCGCGGGCGGAGTTGGCAAGCCTACACGGAGCGCCTCGGAATTCTGCGCTGTGCAACTGCAACATTGTTGTAAGGTCGTTGCGAGATTGGGGCGATGGTTGGGGCGGGGGAAACGCGGGGGGAGAAGGGTGGAGAGAAAAGGGATGAGGCGGGGCGAAAGGGAAGAAGAGAAGGGCGGCAGAAGCAGAAGGAGCACCGGCGCGGAACACAATCAGCAGGGTGCCGCACGAGCGGACTGCAAGGTTTCTGAGGGGTGGCCGCAAAGCGGTTCATGGACATTCGCGGTAATGACGGACAAATTCCCTGGAACACGCCGAAGAGCGTCCGACATGCTTGCCAGGTCAAGAGACCATCCGTCACCCTCATACCTTTATTGAACAAGCCGCGCAGAATGTTATAATATTCGATGTTGTAGCTGCATAGTGTGCACTTGGTGCTGGCGACGTGCAAAAAGCTGACGGCGGTCGAACTGCGCAACAGGAGCACTAAACAACAAAAGCAAAACAAAACTCGCGCCGCGCAGCAGAGGTACGTCTTCACATTGGCATGCGGGGTCCTCGTTGGCCGGCGCCCCATGTGCCTATCGCTGGCCCCCGTCCTCGGCTGAAGGACTGCGAATTGCGCTTCCGGTGGCCTGCGCGCGATCGCCCCTCCGAACACGAACACGGGGGTTGTCTCAACCATGGGGCCCGCGGGCCCTTTTTTCTCGACTTCACAATTCCGAATTCGCTGGCGATCGAACGGAATGCGCCGCCATCTTTCCAACCAAACCACAAGAGACAAGGTAATTTGCGCGCGCGCTTCAAGCTCAAAGTGCAGTGGGGGGGAAAGGGGGGCGAAGAGGAAGTGCAGGGATACCGATGCAGCAGCCGATAATTACGCGCTCGTCGCCATGTCTTTGCATGTTGAAATTGTTGTGAACTTGAACTTGGAGTTGAAATGCCAAGGGGGTGGGAACGGGGGAAGAAAGGAACGGGGGGAGACAGAGACGACTCGCGGCGCGCTGAAATGTGACGCGCGCAAGGACAGTCACTGCACCTGAGCAGTATCTACAGCCTGAAAAAAAAAAAGGAAATGGCCCAGGGGCAACACATCTAGAACGGCCAAGCCTGAACCCATCGAAGCTGTCCTGCTGGAGACTCGAGTGCGCTCGGCAACGAGATGGCGATCGAATGCTCTGAAAGTTCTGGCTGCGCGGCCGTTGGGACATGCATTTTAGATATGCGGACGACAAGCTCAAACTGGACTGAGTCTTGACATCTTCCATTGAAGAAGCGGGGCGCAGAAACGTCATGCGGCGGAACGCAAGCGGCGTCGACGACGACGACGACGAGGGGGGGGACCGAACCGGCAGAAAAGAAAAAAGGGAAGGGAAACGGGGGCGATGAACACGACCGAAACCACGACAACGACTCGACTGTGAAGCAGAAAAACACGCGGGGCGCCCCAACCGCGCCCGAAGCTCCAGATTGCGCGACGCGCGCGGTAAAGCCAAAAGTGGCGCGAAAGAAACCGACGGCGACAGCGACGACGACAACGACAACGACAACACGGCAAATCAAAAGCCAGAAGAGAGGGCCGGGAGGAGGAAGGTGAGGACAAAGATCGTTCCCCTGGCACAGTTCCAATGCTAAAACGCACAGGCAGCGCCGCCCGCGCGGAATATTGCTGAGCCAGGAAGACGCGCGGGCGAAATGGGCGAGCCTAGACGGAGCGCCTCGGAATTCTTCGCTGCACATCTGTGCAAGCGAAGACTGTTGTGAAATTGTTGTAAGGTCGGGGCAAGATTGGGGCGATGGTTGGGGCGGGGGAAACAGAGGGGGAGGAGAAAGGAAGAAAAGAGGGGCGAGGCGAGGTGAGCGGGAAAAAGAGGGGAGGGGCAGAAGCAAAGGAGTGCCGGCGGGGAGGAAAATCAGCAGGCTGCCGCACGAGCGGACTGCAAGGTTTCTTCGAAGCGGCCGCAAAGCAGTGCATGGACATCCGCGGTAGCAGCGAAAGAATGCCCTGGAACACGCCGAAGCGCGTCCGACACACTTGCCAAATCAAGAAACCATCCGTCACCTTGAGACCTTCATCCAGCTAAGCGTTAGGAATGTTATAATATTCGATGGTGTAGCTGCCGAAGGTGTACTTGGCGCTGGCGACGTAGGAAAGGCCGACGGTGGCCGAGCGGTGCAACATGAGTGCTGTAAAAAACGCTCGCACTGTACAGCGCAGGTGCGTTTTCACATTGGCATCTGGGGGTCTTCGTTGGCCACTTCCCCATATGCCAATCGCCGGCCCCCTTCGCGGTTGCAGAAATACAAAATGCGTTTCACACACATAACACTCAACACACGCACACACACACACACTCTTTTTCCGTCGGCGGCGAAGCAGATTTGGCTGCGCCAGCGATCGAGCTAGACGGGGGCGCCGAAAAAAAGAATTGGCCAGCATGCAAGAGCGAGAAGAGGGCAAAGCGGGCGGCCGCGGGGGGGGGAAAGGGAAGAGGACGCCCCTCACAGGTGGAAGAGTTCTCTCTCTCTCTCTCTCTCTCACACACGCACGCAAGCCCACACACACAACACAACACAACAAACAAACACAAACACAACCAAAAACCACAACCACAACCACAACCACAAACACAATCACAAACAAACGCAAACACAAACACAAGCACACACACCAACACAAACACGAACACACACACACAAACACGAACACAAACACAAGCAGAAGCGCAAGTACAATCACAATCACAAACACAAACACAAGCAAAAGCACAAGCACAACACACAAACACAAACACAACCACAACCACAAACGCAAACACGACCACAGACACTAACACTAACACTAACATAAGCACAAGCAAAAACACAAACACACAAACACAAACACACACACATACACAAACACACACACACACAACACACATAGACACACACAGACACACACACACACAGACACACACACACACACACCGAGCGTCCACGTTGCTGACACAGGGTTGGTTTTCTAGGGGACCGGCTTCATAATGGATTTGCCCCAAATTCGGCGGTGGACAAACCTCCCTTTAGTAAACCTCCCTTCAGTAAAAACGGCCTAGGACCGAAACCGACGGACCTGGACCCGCAAAAATGACGGCCGCGACGCCCTCTCGCGAACCGAAACCGGCCAATTCGCTCATCGACGCGTCAAGGTAGGAGGTCGATCAACATCCGACAAGTTTGGTTTCCCGCCCAGACAACGGAATATACGTAGAATGTTCAGTGGATCTGCGGAGCATTGTGGCGCATTCTTCGCAGATCCAACGGAAGAGTAAATTCTGGGGCGCATCAATCCTGTGGTCGATCCCCTAATTACTCGAGCTATGGGGATCGTGCAGGGACTCCGAGACTACCTGGGCCGTCCTGCCGCACCACGCAATCATCCTCGATCGGCGTGTGCTTTGGGCGGTGCCGTCCTCAGAGGCCTCCTAGATGTGGTCCGAGTAGATGAGGTCGGAGGATCGAGCCACATCGCCGATGCATCGCCGATGGATGCATCGGCGATGCATCGGCGATGCATCGCATACGTCGGCAGCTCATCGGCGACGTCGGCGTGGAGAAAATCGGGCTCCGCATCGAGCCGCATCGCCGATGCATCACCGATGCGGCGCGATCCTCCGACCGCATCCACTCTGACCCACGTAGGAGGCCTAGAGTCCTCCGGCCTGCTCGTCCACGCCAGGGCCAGCCTGCGAATCTCCGGCCTCCTCCATCGCTAGGCCGCTGCCGGGGTCCACGAAGAAGAGCTGCAGCAGGGCGACGCCGTCGCCCACGCGGCCTTCGAAGTGCCTCACCTTCTCCGAGCCCTTCGCGTTAGGTCGGGCATTTCCTCCTACAGGCGGATTTTGGAAGGAACAGAAAACGCAAACCATAAAATACACGAAGAATCGTCACTATACGATGTTTCAGCTCTTCTTGAATTCCTCTTGTAGGGGGACGTGCCCGACTTAACCTTCGCGTCGTGGATCATCTGGCGCATCGCCCTGCGCTTGTACAGGAAGCTCGCGCGCGCCTGCGGCACAGCACTGCCCACGCCGGCGGCCGACAGCGAGCTGTTCATGCTGAAGGAGCGCGAGGAGAGCGTCGGCTGCGGCTGTGGCGCCGCGTCTCCCACCGCCGCCCGCCTCTGCGGCGACATCTGCGCGTCCGCCACGGCTCTCGCGTCGTCCACCTCTTCGGGCTCGGCCCTGACCTCGGAGCAGGGCGAGTTGCGTCAACGGCAGCTCGAAGCCGGTCCCGGACCCCCCCCCCCCCCCGTGGTGCAAAGCGCACCAGATCTCCGAGCTGCGCCCAGCCACGGCGACGAGGAGCCCCCGAGGGCCCACCACCGTCGTCCGTCGCTTCAGCCTGCCCTGCCCTGATGACCGGCTGCGCGGGCGCAGCGTCGCTGCCGGAGCGGGGCGGCAGGCGGTCCTGCCTCTGCCGCGCGTCGCCCCTGCTCGGGGACACCTGCGCCCCGCCGGACGCCGCGGCCTCGGGCGCGGAGAGCGGCGGCGGGCGGTCGCGCTTCTGCTGGACCTCCTCGGAGAGCGGCTCGAGCAGCCCCAGCAGGGCGCGCCGCACAAACTGGGTGTACGTCGGCAGCCTGCGGAGGGCAAGAGAACTGCCCCTCCACAGGAGCACACCCCGTCCAAGCGAAGCCCTTCGGCGAGCGCACCCAGGGGACGGACCGAACAGAGCAGGGCCTCTGAGTGAGCGCCCAGGACTGCTTAGCAAACGCCAAAGGTGAGGGCCGGGGCATTTTCAGCCACTGCAGCCTGCCGCGCTCCAGCGGTGGGATGCTCACGAGCAGCGACCTGCCCGGGCCCGCTTGCGGCGGGCACAGGAAGTCCATCACGGAGGCCGACAGGGATGCCTGTTGACGATCCAGCGTGTGCATCGATAGCTTGGCGATGGCCAGCTTCTCGAGCTGGGCCACCAGAGTTCGCCGAATAAGCCCCTCCTGCTCCTCGCTCAGCTTCTGCAGCCCGTAGAAGTCGAGCTGTAACTCCACTGGGTCCACCTGGTGAAGCCAAAAGGCACCGATACCGATACTCCCCGGACCTCTTCCTGGGTGCGTTCTGATCAGGACTTCGAGGCGAATCCAGCAGTGGCAACGAGGGCCTCCCAGGAGGCCCCAAAGGGCAAAAACGAAGGAAATGCAGCGGTATGGATACATTTTCCTCCTCTGACTACCGCTCCGTCCCCCTGGGCGCGGACATAACGGGGCCGGATGAAGAGGTCCGTGCCGCCGTCGGTCGCATGGTACCGGATCCACACTGTATCGCGGCGCCTGGTCTGGAGACGATTTCTCTCGAACATCGCCGAGACCGCCTCGTTGTGCTGGGCATTGCGCTGGCGCTGGAAGGATACTTTAGCGCTCGTGTTTCTCTCGGAGCCCTCGGCAGTGCCCCCGGCAAGCCAGTTGATGATGCGGAAGTGGTGCAGGCACTTGACAAGTGGGACCGACACCTGGCTTTGCTGTCTGCAGTGCAGGTCCTCTGGTGACCTCAGCAGCCTCACGAAGCGCGGGTCTTCCTCGGGCACGGCGGGGACCGCCTCGACGGAGTTGTCGAAGTCCTTGGCCAGGTCCGGCATCAGCTCCGCCAGCTGCTTCATCCGAGCGGGCTGCGCCTTCCGAGGTGGCTGGGACTTGCCCTTCTCTCCCTCGCCAAGCTTCTCCTTCTCCGACTTCTCCTTGTCCTCGGACGAACAGAAACGGCATCACCATAAACGTTTGTCGCTCCGGGCGGATATCTTGGATCGGCGCTGGACCCCCCTCCCTGGCGCGCGGAACGCGCCAGGGGCGGTGCCGCAGGCGCCGTAAGGGTGGCCCAGCGCTGATCCAAGAAATCCGCACGGAGCGCCACAAACAAACATACATACATACATACACACCTACCTACCTACCTACCTACCTACCTACCTACATCCATCCATCCATCCATCCATCCATCCATCCATACATACATACATACAGACATACATAAATACATGCACACATACACACATACATACATACATACATACATACATACATACATACATACATACATACATACATACATACATACATACATACATACATACATACCGACCTACCTGACTACCTACCTACCTACCTACCTACCTACCTACCTACCTACCTACATACATACACACATACACACACATACACACATACATACATACATACATACATATATACATACAGACAGACAGACAGACAGACAGACAGACAGACAGACAGACAGACAGACAGACATACATACACACATGCATGCATACATGCATGCATACATACACACATACACACATACATACATACATACATACATACATACATACATACATACATGCATGCATACATACATACATACATACATACATACATACATCCGTCCACCCATTCATCCATCCATACATACATACATGCATGCATGCATGTGCCCATACAAACACACATACATACATGCATGCATGCATACACACATACACACATGCCCGTGTACCGACATATATACAATTAAACAACATACGCACATACATGCATAGATGCATGCATGCATATAGACATTGTAAGGCATGCATACACATAACTATATATATGTCTATATACATATACACAGACACATACACATACACATATATGCATGCGTACATACGTGCGGACCGTCATACATCAATGCATACGCATATATATATATATACATATATATGTGCACATTCCTACAAACAAAAATACACACATACGCATACATACATGCATACATACAGCATACAACATACACGCATACATGCATGCATGCGTGCATGCATGCATGCAGGCCTGCACGCATATACACATGTACACATCTGCATGCAATCATACACCCACACACATATACATATGCATATACACATATGCATAAGTTTATAAACGCACGTATACATACACAACTACATATGCATGCACATATACGTTTAGACACACATATATACAGATCTGCATCTTGGATGTATGGCTTATGCTTGTGCGAGTCCTGCTTTTCCCTCTCCTTCTCCGCCCTCTCCGCGCCGCCCGCCAGCGAGCCGGGCTCCGCCCGGGCGGCGTGCTCGCCCCCCCGCTCCCGGTCCGCCTCGCCGGGGCCCTCGGAGGACACCGCCTTGGTGACCTTCTCCTGCGGGGCCGCCCGGGCGGGGCTGGAGCGCAGAGACGTCTTGGTGCACAAAGGCCGAGGAATCGTTCGACGATGCGAATCGAAGCAGAAGAGTGACCAACGATGGCCACTTGCAGAAAGCCTTCGACAATACTCACAAGTGGTTAGCGGCATGCGATCCGCGAGGCCGAACTCCCGAGCCTGAAGCTCGAGATGGCTGGCTGCCAGTGCACCTGACCGCGCACTTGGGGCACCTTCTTCGTCGCTTCTTGAGGGTCCTGAGGCCTAAATGCCGGAGAACACATGGGCGAGGGTCAACAACGGGTCTCACTCAGGATGGCAAAGTGACGTTACGCAGGGCCCCGTAAACTCGAACACGCTAGACCCGGACATCCAATATCCCTCGAAACCAATTTTCCCAAACGGCGGCACGAACAACATACTGCACTGCAACCTTTTCCATAACAAACCTGGACACAAGCTCTAAAAGCCTGCAAGACCACCCTAAACCCTGACATAAACTCGAATCCTGCAGTGCGGTGGCTTACGCGGGCCGCCGGCGCGGCACGCTACATTGGAAACGAGGGCGCTTACGCGCGAACTTACGCGAGCAGCTTTCGCGCCAATGTCGGCGCAGTCGGACCCGAAATATTTTGCCATATGCGGGCCCCAGGGGCAATCGGGGGATAAGAAACTTCCGTGGGGCACATGCTGGCAGGCCGATTTCAGACATGATGTGTCTAATGTAGGGGGTGTCAGAGGATGCCGCCGCATCTTCGACGCACTGGCGACATCGGGGTGGAGAGCATCGTGATCCGGATCGAGCCGCCCCGGCGATTCATTGGCGGCGCGCGGCGCGGTCCTCCGACCCCATCTGACTGCTCCAGCCCCCGGTTGGGCGACCCAGGATCCTCCCTGTCCAGGAATTTCTGAGGCGTGAGGTCGTCGTCGCAGACACCGTCCGCGCGCAGATCCGGGTGCAGCAGCTCCGAGAGGCGCTGCTCCGTGGCCATCTGCTCCAGCAGCAGCTTCTGGTTCGCCCGCGCCGCCGCGCGGGCGACGGACGCCCTGCACATCGCAAAGTACGGCTCTGGGTCCAGCTCGCCCTGCTCGGCTGCACGGAAGCGTAGCCCCAGATAGGCTGGAGGAGGAGGAGGAGGAGGAGGAGGAGGAGGGGGAGGAGGAGGAGGAGGAGGAGGAGGAGGAGGAGGAGGCGGAGCGCGGCGGAGGAGGCGGAGGAGGAGGAGGCGGAGGAGGCGGAGGGGAGGCGGAGGAGGAGGAGGAGGAGGCGGGAGGGAGGAGGAGGAGGAGGCGGAGGGGAGGAGGAGGAGCGCACGTGCCATAGGAGGAGGAGGAGGAGGAGGAGGGGAGGAGGAGGAGGAGGAGGAGAGGAGGGGGAGGAGGAGGAGCAGTGGCCTCTGGCGCGCGGCTTGCCCATCGCTGCGTGCGGTGCGGCAGAGGCGGCCTGCGCGCTCGGGCGTGCCACCCCGCGGCCCCCCCAGAAGAGCCGCGCGCCATAGGCCGCTCCGGCGGAGGGCCACTCCCCCGCGCGTGGCCGACCTGCGGCGTGAACAGCAGGCTGAGCTGGGCGAGGAAGGCGAACCGCTCCGGGTCGATGTCCTCGGGCAGGAGCATGAGCGCCCAGAACGGCGACGCCTCCTCCCCGTCGGCTGCGCGCCAGAGTGGCCCCCAGGGCACGAGTGACCTTTGGTGCGCGGTTCTTCTGGGGGGGCCGCGGGGGGACCAAAGACACGCGCGCACGACCCCACTACCGCGTCGCGTTGAACGATCGGGGGGCCCTCAATGGGCCTCGGGCCCGAATCAACGGGGGGGCGATACATGGGGAGGGGAGAGAGGTGCCCTTTTCAGGCCCTGAAGGCCCCCTGTGTGGGGTCCTCAAGTGGGCCCCTGGAGGGGCCCTCAAGGGTCCCTGTCTGCAGCCCTCGCTGCCCCTCCCTTCCTCGCCTCGCCCCCCCCCCCCACCCATTCCGCGCCCCCCCCCCCTGCGCCCACACCTCAGGTCGCTCCGCGGCGAAGGGCCACTCTTGAGCGTGCAGCCGGCGCCTCCCCCGGGCGGCGGCAGGCCTCGGCGCGCTGGCCCGGTGGGCCGCTGCCGCCTCGGCCGCCGGAGCCCGCGGCCTGCGCGTCGGGGGCGACCCACACGAAGGCCCCGTCCTGCACCCTGCGCGGCGGCCCGAGGCGCCTCCGCGCCCCGAGGCCCTGCGCGGCCGCCTCCGCGCCGAGGCGGGCGCCGCGCGCGAGGCCCTGCGCCGGCTCGGCCTCCTCGGGCTCGAGGGCCTCAAGCTCCCTGGCCAGCAGCTCGCGCGCCCTCGCCTTCGCCCTGGGCCTCGCCACGGGCAGCTCCACCTCGCAGGAGTGCACGAGGCCGCCCAGGGCGGCCTCGGGGCTGCCGACGACGCGCCTGAGCGTCTGCAGGCTGGCGGGGGACGTGGGCCACGCGCAGCGAGTGAGGTTGGCGTGGGCCACGCTGACGGCCACCGCCAGCTCCTCCACGAACCGCACGGCGGGCCTGAGCCTGTCTGCGACGTCGGGGCGCAATCTCTCCCACTCCGCGTCGAAGTCCAGCAGGCTGTTGCCCAGGGCCCCCTGGTGCGGCCCTGGGCGGGCAGCCTGAGCACTCTTGCCCCAGCCGTGGCTCTCTGGCGCCAGGAAGTGAACGACGATGCGAACCTCATCCGCACATTCCTTCTCGTAGGCGGCTCGGAAGATGGAGCTGCAAATCTCGGGCTCGACCGCCGGATCCTTGGGGTCGGCCCTGCCGGTCCGAGGGACCTCGACCTTCAGAAAGCAGACGTTTTGGTCCAGCGGGCCGTCTGGCGGACCGACGGAGCCAACACCGGTCCCCTCGCCTGTGCCCTCGGCGCGGAAGAAGCACACCCAGGAGAGACCCGCTAGACAGCTCGTGCGCGGGAAGCACTGGAATCCCTGCCGCTCGAGGGATGTGATGGCGGAAACGCCGAGGTGGTCCCACACGGCCGCGACGTCGCCGACGCCCGCAGACCGTGACACCGTCGCCAACTCCCTCAACGACACCGCGACGCATGCCTGATTGCAAGCACCGAATGCGTACTGGATCTCCTCGTCCTTAGGCCAGCGCCCATGGCGGAGCTCATGGTACACGACCTCTGCGCAGATCTGCAGGTGCACTGTCTCAACCTGAGCCCGGATCTCTTGCAACTCTTTGGCGCCACCCTCGCTGGCCTCACTGGCCTCGCCAGCCTCGGGGTGCGCTGGCATCTTCTGCACATCTCCATGGGAGAGTATGGCCGCGACGAAGGCGTCGCGCACAGGCAACGGTCTCAAGGAGCCCGCACTGCCCCAATAGAAATGCACAGAGCAGTCCTCAGCAGCAGTCTCAGGCAATATCGCCATGGCGAATCGCATCCGGGGTCTGCTGTGTATGAAATCCGCCACCGTGTCTTAGAAGGGACTGAGTGGAGTGTCCTGACGTCCCCTGGAGTCCTCAACAGTAGAATCTGTAAGAGCATCAGACTTCCAACTCACGGGCCTCCTGGGCGCTCGTAGGCGCTTCCGGGCGCTCCCAAGGACGGTCGCGTGACTTTCCCGATGACTCGGGAACGTGGTTCAGAATCCGAACCTCCAACGTGCCGCAAGAGGGTCCCAGTGGCCTATATGCTGGAGCCGTCTGCAGGGCCCCTGCGCTCGCCTTAGGAGGCCCCTGGGGCCAACCTGCGAGTCCCCGATCGTCTGAAACGGAAGGCTCGACGACATGCAAGAGTGACCCTGGGTAGGAGTGACCTTTGGTGCGCGGCTTCTTGGGGGCCCAAGGGGGACCCAACACCATCGCGCAAGAAACTCCTACCGCACCGCGTTCGGCGACCGAGGGACCCCATTGGGCCCGCACCAAAGGTCACTCCGACGAAAGGTCACTCTTACACGTAGTAGAAAGATATTGCCAAGAAGCTTTCAGCATCATCACCGATTCGGCCGTAAGAACGTCCACGGCAGCTGCAATACCGCTCCAAGGTACGTGGCCCCCGAGGATCACAGGCGGGGTCCGGGGGGGCCTCCAAGACGCCCCCAAGAGAGACCCGAAGCGCGCCACCAAAAGAGACCCGACAAGCGCGCCACCGCCAGACCACTGGAAGCAGTCCCTCACACGACTCGCCACTTGGGCGCTCGAGTTATCCGGGTAACTCGGGCCTGGGGTAACTCGGGTTTAGATTCCCGAAATACGAAACCGAGCTAGCCCTGACGCGAATTACCCCTGATGATTCGGGGCTCTGAGCCACCGTGCTCGCTGGAACGCTGAAGCGTGGCAGCTTGGTAGAGTACCAAGAGCTGTCCGGTATGGCTCCTGTATTCTACAGCCGGCCCGTATCACAAGGATGCGCGATGAGGATGCAAGGGCCTCGGAAGGCCATTTCGGAGCTTCTCGAGCGGGGCGCGGCCAACGCGAGTGACCAAGAATGGACCGAGGAGGCAAGAACGCAAGGGTACCATTGGGCAGGTTGCCCATCCTTACTATGCGGGTTGACTGTAGGGCTCTTGTACTCACAGGGTCCCCCCTCTCGTCGCAGAGTGTCGCATGCATCGAACCTGCTGCTCCTCCTCCTGCTGCTCCTCCTGCTGCTCCTCCTCCTCCTCCTCCTGCTGCTCCTCCTCCTCCTCCTCCTCCTCC